CCATGTGAAAAACAGTGCATGACCAGACAACTAAAAATAGGAACATAAGATGCCCAAAGCAGAGGAAATGAGCCTGGTGTGTAACAACTGCCTTGATTTCATTAAGCACCAGGTTCTCCCAGGGCAGTTGCATTGTCTCTTCCCCCTTGTGCAGATTAGAATCCTACTGTATTCAGCTGTACCCCACTTCTGTCATTTGCAAGGTTTGAAATGGGGAAGAACATGCCCTGGTGCACACAGGAGGTGGCCCTCAATGCTGCCTTGGGGCAGCCTGGTCCTGCCTCTGCAGGCAGCGATCCTGCTTAAAGGAAGGACCACAGAAAAACTTCTAAGGAAGAGTTTTAGCTCAGTCTCAGCTTTCATGGAGTTTTTCTGGGACAGCCCTTGTCCTGTCCCCTTATGCAGTTTCTCCCTTCAGGTCAGCCCTTCTGGCTCCTTTTACTTGGCCTCAGCGCCCCAGCGCCTGGGCACACCCACATAAGCCATACAGCCCCACCAGAGCCTGCCTCCTTGTCCACACAAGGACAAAACCTCTTACAGGAAGGGTATGGTCCTGCAGCACAGTTTTTCTAAAGCACACCAGCTCTCATGGGTTACCTGGAAAACACAAGTAACCCACTGATGTCAGCACACCCCCTCAGCAAGTCTCCACTTGGCACACAGCAGACTGTCTGCCCACATTTTGGAGTCCATTAAGCTTTTCTGCAGCAGGCAGGTCCATATTATCTCACTTGTGCCTGACTCTTCTCTGGGCTTCTCTGTCCTCCTACCCCACCCTTAAGCAAACTTGTAATTCCTGTGGTTTCTCTGGCACCCGTTCTGCATGGACCGGTGGGGTTCAGCTCTCACCTGGCATGTCAAATGCTACATGTTTGAGCTTGCACTTTTTTCATTGTCTGTGTTCTTCCTTTCAATCCTACATGGCTTCTAAGTTCCAGGCCAAATAATGCAATAAAAACATTCACACACTTGCAGTTTCTCTTATAACATCTCCTCTACCTGGAGAAAATTTTTTGAATGCTGGAGAAACTTTCCTTACATATCATGTCTGTGATGACACAAACTACACATTTTCTCTTCTTGGAATAGCATAATCCAGTCAGCTCAGAGAGGAGAACAGGGGGACTCAATTTTCCTCCCATATCCATCCTTTTCCTCTCCTCCTAGTATTGGGGAGTGTCTTCCCCTGGTGATGCTCTGATGATGAGCAGGCACAGGGACTGGATTTGTACTGAAGATGAGATAATCTAGCTGAGATTCCCATTCCCATTTTCCCGCTCCTCTCCTCCTCTGGTAACTTGTCTGTGCTTTCCCAGTTCACAGTCCACTCTACTCTCTTGGTTTGGGAATTTTGCACACTCAGGTAAGGGCACTGCTTTGCAGGCTGCCAGCCTCCTCCTGGGAAGCATGAGAGAGACTGGGAAAGGGGATATTCCCAGTGAGAATTCAGCTGGCTCTAAATGGCAACCCATTAAACACGAGAGGCTGCAGGGCTCAGCCACGGCTGACTTTAAAGACCTGTTGTAGCCAGCAGACATGTTGGATTTATTCACAAATCGAAGCAGCTACAGTACTAACTGAACAGCATTAGGCAGTCTGCATGGAAAGGTCAATTTCAGACCCATTGAGTTAAACTGAGATTTTAGAAAATACAGGGATGCCTTGACAGGTGGCACAGTGCCATTTTTGAGCTTTGCTCTCAGATCCAATTGCAAAATTACAATAGCCTGGTAATGAACCACCCTGACTCAAAGTCTTCCCAAACCACTCTGTAACAAAACTATCCAGTTGTTCACCATTCAACTTCCAGTTCATTAAGCCTGTCTGTTGCATTCCTGATCTTTTTATCCAGCTAGCACCTGGTTTGAGGAGCCTCTTACATTTTTCATATCTGTTTTCTTTTTTTCTTGAGCTGCCTGGGGGTGATGATGATGGAGACCAACCCAGCAATAGGTGGCAACTGCGTAAAGGAAAAAAAACACTCACAGAATTCAGGCAATTTAAGCATGAAAGTGAGATGTCTTTCTTTTCAAATCCTACAGCGAACTATTTTAACACAAAGGGATGATCAGCAAAGGTAATTTTCTGAAATTTGAATGCAAGTTGATGGAAATTACACGGTCCTGCTTACTCAAAATCCCAACAAATCTGAACAAAATGTCAACATTGTCCAAGATACGTCTCTCCTTTATTATACATAAAACCCTCCTGAAAGTCACTTTTCAGATCCACAGAAGTGAATTAAGTATTTTTTTTACTGCACAGAGTTTCCATAAAGAATTAAAACTGAGCAACCTAAGAGCAATCAAAAATGCTGACTAAAACTGTCTTTTTTTTTTTTTAAAAAAAAAGGCAACTGTCTCGGATAATTACCAACCTGTGAAACCTGTGATGTGGATCTGAACTGCCACAGTATTTAACTGTTCTTGTGGAACAACATACATCTGCATTTGAATGACCTGGATTTTGAAACACTTAACAGCAAATTCCAAACCTACCCAAAAAAACCCTTCCACCTAAAGTCTCTATAGGACAGGCAACCTCAGTACCTATATCTAATACAGCAGCAGCACTGCTTACCTTGGGGATGACACAAGGATAAGACACTACTTGCACAAAAGTCTTTGAAGTTGAAGAAAGCTTCAGAGCCATGAATACATTATCATCAGCTGTTCCAGGTATTTACTGTTTTCTACCTAACTTTTCTTAAGATACAGGAAGGAAAGTGAACATCAAGCATTTACCACAGCCTGTTCAAGATCCTACGGGGAGTCTGTCACAGAGTCAAGACTTGAGCTCACACTTGATCCTCCCATGCCTAAGTGCATTCAAAGAGCAAGTCTGTCTCCTATTAACTCAACCTTTTTGAAAAATCACCCTGATACATGTTGCCTATTAGATGCTCAGCCTTTGAGCCTGGGAAGCTCTTCATTCTGGGATTTCAAACTCCCACCATCTGCAATTGCAAAGTGGTATCTTTGAAAGGTCAGAAACTCAAGCAATAAATCCAGGCAACCAACATGTGTAGCGTGAGCAAAACTTAAAAGCTGTTTAAAAGTTTTGAGGTTTCACTTGCATTTTTCTTCCTATTGTAGGGACAACAACAGACAAAAGGTCAGGAGTGTGACACTACCAGCAACTGGCCTCACAAAAGCCACACCACCAAGGAAGGGGATGCAATTGCCATTCCTTAAAGAGGAGCATCCTGACAGAGGAATATACTGAACAGAAAGAAAGTGGTTATTAAATCAGTCTTAAATTAGTTTTAAATTAGTCTGGTGAAAAGGTATCCATCCTATATAAAAATTAGGATTCTCTTTAGCAATCTTCAGTATTTGTTGCCATTTCTCCTTATGCCAGACAGGCATCCTGTTAATTTCCCAGTTATTCTTTTCCCAGAAAGTAATCCACTCCACACAGCCCTTGAAGACTGCAAAGGAATCTGAGTAAATGTACCAAGCATCCTTAGAGGCTTTTTCTTTTACAAAAACATTGAGAACAGTGTCCAGCTCTCCCACTTGGGCACTGCCCTTATCTTGGTTTATTATTTTTTCACCTGTGGAGGGTTTAATTGTAGCAGATTTGAACAACCAGGTTTTTTCTTCTCTTCGGGATGAAGCTTCTGTAAACCAAGCATTAACCATTTCACTCTTGTATTCCAGGGCATCTTTAATAGGACTGGGAGTTTTCTTCAACTAAAGTCACCACTTGCTAAGTAAGATAAATAATACGAAGCCCTGATTGACTTGGCTTCTCTCAGCAATAAATCCAGGCAACCAACATGTGTAGCGTGAGCAAAACTTAAAAGCTGTTTAAAAGTTTTGAGGTTTCACTTGCATTTTTCTTCCTATTGTAGGGACAACAACAGACAAAAGGTCAGGAGTGTGACACTACCAGCAACTGGCCTCACAAAAGCCACACCACCAAGGAAGGGGATGCAATTGCCATTCCTTAAAGAGGAGCATCCTGACAGAGGAATATACTGAACAGAAAGAAAGTGGTTATTAAATCAGTCTTAAATTAGTTTTAAATTAGTCTGGTGAAAAGGTATCCATCCTATATAAAAATTAGGATTCTCTTTAGCAATCTTCAGTATTTGTTGCCATTTCTCCTTATGCCAGACAGGCATCCTGTTAATTTCCCAGTTATTCTTTTCCCAGAAAGTAATCCACTCCACACAGCCCTTGAAGACTGCAAAGGAATCTGAGTAAATGTACCAAGCATCCTTAGAGGCTTTTTCTTTTACAAAAACATTGAGAACAGTGTCCAGCTCTCCCACTTGGGCACTGCCCTTATCTTGGTTTATTATTTTTTCACCTGTGGAGGGTTTAATTGTAGCAGATTTGAACAACCAGGTTTTTTCTTCTCTTCGGGATGAAGCTTCTGTAAACCAAGCATTAACCATTTCACTCTTGTATTCCAGGGCATCTTTAATAGGACTGGGAGTTTTCTTCAACTAAAGTCACCACTTGCTAAGTAAGATAAATAATACGAAGCCCTGATTGACTTGGCTTCTCTCCTGTTCTACTGTGACAGAGACCATCTCAGCACTGGCATCTTGCATGATCTGACACTGGATATATCTGTGGGAGGAGTCTTATGATATTTGGGGTTTTTGTTTTTCAAAGACAGGTTTTGAGGGGTTGAACAATTTTAAGAACAACTTTGGTTTTCATGTATATGGAGAGAAAGAAGTTATCTGAAAACATAACTAAGCAGAACCTAAAAGATCTGTGAACCAAGCAAATAACTCAACATGCTTTGCTTCTGGAAGTCTTACAATACTGCAGAACAACATGACTCTAGATTTCAAAACACTGTCATTCAAATAACGACACAAAGTAGTAGAAAGCTTTTAGACAAACAGACAAATATCTATTAAAAAAAAAAGAGAGAAAGAGGCCCTTCAACTTTATGTCCTATGTGTTGTGCTAGATTAAAAAAATTAGACAGGGTTTGTTGCTGGCTTTGTACTTATTTATACCATCGGAGATCCTTACCTCGAAATTCAAGCCCTCTGAGCTGAAAGGTGACAAGGCCATTTCCAATTTCGATCAAGTGCACAAAGGCGTTTAAATAATCCGATGCCAGAATAAAACAGTCTCCTGTGTTGTAGTTTCCCCAGCGGCCGAGAATCAAATCTCCACAAAGAGACTCCTGCAGAGATCTTGTCAAATGCTCATAAAAAATGGAGTTGAGATTATTGTCATCATTTCCTACAATCAGAGCAGCACACATTTATAAAGAGTAAGATTTATAATACACTAAGGTGTTCTGCATAAAATCTCATGTTCTTTTCTATTCCTGCATAAAGCTTTTTCCCCTAGCTGGATGATATCTTCCTGATACTTTATGCAATCTACATTTCCTAGGAAGTTTTTGGCCTTTACAGAACCAGGCCTGAAACTTTCATTTAAAATCAACAATATTGTAAACAGAACATCAAATTAGTGACAATACATATTGCAGACTGAATCAAGTCACCTAAATGTTTTCCAACAGCAATAATTTTTTGGCTCCACTTAAAGTCTCTGCAATGCCAAGGTAATGTCTTAATATCTTTATATTGTTCTTAATTTTAAGAAACCAGAAATCATTATTTCAGCTCATAAGCTTAAATCTGAGTATTATTTCTGAGATTTAAAAATAATTCGGTCACACATCTCCCAGTAATTTTGTTGGTATTTTTTCTTTCAGCCCTCCAGGAATTTTTCCAGGCTTTGTCCATGAAGTATCTGTTTCTACTTAAGATGAGGATACATATTCTAGGAATTCACTTAGTATACTAAGAAAGAATGAAACAAAGTGTATTCACTGCTAGAAGCATTACTACTTCTTTAAAAACAGTAGCTGTCTAATTACACATTGGTTGGACCAACTGTCTATGTGAAAAACACCCCGTCACAGTCTAAAACTGTAATCTCATAAAGATCTATGGCATGTAACTGGATTAAATGTAGCATTTAATGATGGTAATCCAAGAAAGGGAATTAAACTTCCACAAATGCTAACACAGTGCCACATAATCCAACACGGTGTTGTCCTGTGCTTGTCGTCTTTTAACATAATATGTGCTTGACATGAGAACTGCTTTTCTTTTCTATAATGCAGCAGTGTCTCACATCCAATACTTTCAAAATGCTGGTGCATGAATAATATACATGTGCAAACCACTATCTTCATATGTGTATTTGTATACATGAGACTGTATGTGAATACACAAGTACACATTAATATTTACCTATGTGCCTATTTAGGAGCAGATATAACAAGGATTAAAAAACCAGAGGATGACAGGCTGTAGCTTCCCCTACAAGCTGCCCCTCAATACAAGAAGAAGAATAGGCATGTTACTACCCTGTTTTCCACCACCATGGCCATTACACATGCAGCCCTGGTGTGTAAGTATATGCCAGTGTGTATGCACATACAGTCATACTCGGCTATACCCCTTCTGGAATATATTTGGCAAAAATGTAAATGAGTCATAAAATGAATCTTTTAAGCTCACATGCAAAAGAAATGTTTTGCTTGAGCTATAGGGTTTAAAACATAGCTTATTAGCATATACAATAGTGCTAAAGATAATTGCTATCAGACAAGAAAATGGCTTTGGGAAACATCATAAGTCCTTGCCTTGAAATGGTAAATAATTAAAGAGCACTATATATGCCTCAAACTGCTAATAACCCTCTTGCTTTCTTGGACACTCTGGATTACACCCATTTCTGCTTGAAGATGTGTATTTGTTCATGCTACTGATGTAGTGGATAAGGATAAAAAGGGGGAAGGATAAAAACATAACAGCAATAATTACAATGTAAACTTCTACCTCCACAATACAAGCAGTTGACACCTCACTGGCAAAATAAACTAATATGCAGAACACTAAAATGGAAGAAACCCATTTAGGAAACCCTGGCCTCCCTCACTGGCACTGGGATTTGGCATGAAACACTGGTATTGGTTTCCTCTGGAAATGGCTCTGTCCCACCATGTGCTGCAGAGTGTCGGCTGAGTCACATCCACTGCCTTGGCAATAAATGCCCTTGCTTCCCACTGTCATGGGAACCACTGGGTGCAGCCCAGGAAGGTGCTTTACATTGCCATGGGTCGGAGCTATTTAACAATGCACCAATACCCAGAAGAGAAGTCCATTGTCTTTCCTACTTCCTTCTTTTACCCCTTCCTGGAGATCTTCCAATTTCCCTTTCTCCTCTTTCCAAAGAGGCTTATGTCCAGGGAGGACGAGATACCTGTCAGTCCAAACTGCTCAGCAACAGGGACACTGTTAAACTGCTGCTTTTTTCCAAAACTTCCCTGCCCACACCTGACCTGGGCTGGGGTGTCTGCTGCATCCTCCACATGACCAGCAACGTTATGACTAACCAAGCAGTTTGCAGCCCAGCAGCCATTTGATCAGCCACACATCACTGAAGAGTAAATTTACTGATCAAGTTACGTGACTTAAGCCAGTGCTTTGTACATTGAAAACACTCTCGTTTGTTCAAACAATATTTAAACCCTTTGCATCTCCTCAGCTTCCCAGGCAAAGCCTTAATGGTGTTAACACATCACATTTTGCAAATTAAGCAAAACACTCAAACTCACAGGCCATACCTGCATCCTTCTCGATCTGAATTGCCAGTCTGGTGTTGGAATGATCCGATCTTTTGGTGCTGGAAATAAAGACATGTTGTACAGCCAAGTCTTTTCTTTAAAAATAAGATCCTCTCAAACCCACATTTTATTTTCTTTTTAACATATCTTCTTATTCTGTGCTTATATCATAATGCAATTTACACTCTAATGCCTTCATTGGTTTATCCCAAGTAGGCATGTATAGTTACTTCAGTACTGCTTTTGATATTGTAGCTTATCAGCACATAAAACCAACGTGTCTGTGTCTCTTCCTCCTTTTCCTCAAACTCTTCCTTCTCCATTTTCCTTCTTCAGAATTTGGCATCTGTGATAACACACAACCCTATGTACTTAAATAATTGAACTGGCTCTAGATGCCACCAAAACAGTGACTAGAAAAAACATTAAATCAGTCTGTCTTCCCTTCTAAGCCTTAAGGGAAACAGCTGAACTCAAGGGGTTTTATTTGTGCAATAAAATTTCTGTGAATGTATATGGAAAACAAAAACAAGAAGCAATTTCCTTAGTTCCATATTTAGCTGGGCAGCAATAAGGGAGTCCCTGGTCATTCTTGTCACCTGAAAAAGTGTAAATCACAGTGTCTTAGTCCATACAGACAGTAACTCTGTCTCTCTTATGAATGACATGTTCCCTAGTTGTTATTTTCATTGTAGCAGTCATATATAAATACCACAGGAAAAATGGTCACAAAATGGAAAGCAAATAAAGATAGACTGGATTCAGCTTTCATTCCCACCTGTAACAACAGAGGGAACTAAGTCTGGAAATAAGGAACAAATAAATCACTGTGGGCAAGCATGTGTCCAGAAGGGAGTGGTTGTTGTGCTGACTAGGGACAACCAAAACCAGAAGTCCAGAGTATCCCCCAAGCATCCATTTCCCAAGCCTTCAGAGGGCAAGTGAAAAGCCTGGCTGTATTAAATACAAATTTCCCTGAACTACACCTCTGGGCAGTGGTGTCTTAAGATTTTGGAAGAGTTCACTAAGTTTTGCCCTCAGTCATCAGCCTTAGCAGACAATCTATCCATTAGATATGTAAATATCATACCTCCAGAAATGGGGTTAAAGCAGAAAATTGGTAAAGACAATGTCATTTGCCCCAAACAACAGTCAGCATAAGGTTAACATGTGTAAGTGCTTCTGAAGGTGTCATCTGTTCAACAGCCTGCAAGTGTAGGGCAAAAGTGTTCTCCTGGACAGAACTGAGGGAGACACCAGGCACAGTCCTCACTGTATCTTCTGTGTAAGTGTGACAAGGGTGGCATGGCCAGGTTGGACAGGCTGTCTTGTTAGGGTGGGCAGCACAGGGCACAGTGAAGATTTTGAAAGGGCGGATGGTTGGCCAGCCAACTTACAAAGCCTGAATTTAGCTACTCACTTAGACATGCACCGGGGAAGACTACACCAAGGAGGATAAGGGAGGCTTTCAAACAACTTAAGTAACACTGAAAAAGGATGTTGTAAACCCAATGTAATGTTGTCTCTGGAGCACAGTGGAAACTCTTTGGGAGTCTGTATATCCTCATCTTCATATTAGCTCCCAGGATTTCTTATGTCAATATACAAGTTATTTAAAAGGTTGGGAGCTTCTGAGCTCAAGCTCTAAGCTCATGCAGAAGCCAAAGGTGAGAAGGATACCACTGGTGTCCCTAATGTTATAAAGCCTTTTCATGCATTCTGCAGCATCCAGAAAATTGACCAACAGAAACATTGTACACAGGCTTCCATGTATCAGACAGAAGAGGAACAGAATTGCTTTACTTCTACTCCCCACCAGGGACTAATCTTTGCTTTAAATAAACACGGTGTTTACAAGAAATGCAGTTGGAGAGAATATGGGTCTTAATTAGATTATTTGTAATTAATATTAGTATACTATCCACATAGATTAACATTTTATTTCATGTATTATTAATCTTCCTGCCTCTAGTTGGCTCAGCTTATTGTAATGGCAATTTTCATTTCCTATGCAACAGAAAATGGCAACAAGGGGGAGGGCTTTGTAAGCAGTTCAGAATATGAAACATTATTTTACTTCAAAAAGGTTGTCACAGTTCCTCTACCCTGATATACATCCACCCACAGCTGCAACATATGCAAGAGTAAGCATAAAGATTAGGTTACAGAATTCCATCAATTTTCTGTTCTCAGCAGAGAAATGCTGCTGATTTCGAAATGCATATGCTTTAAAGATTATGAGACTCCTTCTTAACTTTCAGTCCCTCTGAAATCTGCGTGGCAGTATGAGGTACAAGTTCTTTACCCCCGTTTTTTACCAACCTATAAAGCATTTCTGTTCCTGAGGCACATTGAGACCCATACATATCAAGTAATACTTCAGAAAACTCTAATTTATAGTAAGTAGGAATCATTTTGCCCAACATGCAGCTCTGGCTCTATTCCTGCCCACTCCCCTCCCCCTGCCTTATTTTTTTGCCTTAAGAGTAAGATGCCTGAAACAATCAGGGAAAATCAAGAGTGCTTTGGGACACTCCAAGACAGATAATACAGCCTGACTGGGAAGAAAGGAAGAACATCTCTCACAAAAAAAATTAAACCAGGCTCCACTGCAGCTTTATCCTCCACTCAAGCACAGCAATGATTGCTTAAGCAGCTAAAATGTGGGCCTCAGGACATGAGACAAGAAAGGATTCACCTTTTAATACACTAGCAGCAAAACTCCAATCTTTATACAGATATTTTTAAGCCTATTTTTTAAAATTATTTTTTAAGACTGAGGGTAATATAGACAGTTTGTAAAGCAAACTTTTGTCTTGAAATTCAGTTTAGTCAAATATATTCAGGCAGGTAATAAATTTTTTCTTAAAAAAAATCTTCCACAATTATTAGTAATCAAATGTTTGCACCTTCTTATACACTGCACCTAACAATCAAACCAGCTCCACCTTTACTCCTGGGGTTTTTGCTGTCAAAGTGAACTTTTGGGAGTAGTGAGTGATTTGGGCTACATCCAGTGGCCTCTTGCTTTAAATTCAGTTGTTACCACTCATCCAAGGTGATAATTAACTCAGTAATTGGATTTCTCCCCAAATTGTATTATTCTATGTAAACCAAGTGCAAGTTCTTGAGTACATGCTCTGGAGAGCAAGTGATTTTGTTTGGATGTCTTCAGCTAAGTCTTCAGCAATTTTAAAGTCAATATCTTGCTTAGTTCTTGAAATATCTCTCATGCTCTCTTAATCCAGCATTTATATAGGCACTGAGATAATCCACTGGCTTAGCACTGTTCATGCCATTATAACTATTGCTTCCCTTTGCAAAAGGATGAAGTCACTTCCTATACTTCCCTTGTCCAAAAATACTGCCTCATTTTTCAACCTGGAAAGACTTTCTTCTCCCGATTTACTCTCCCAATTTCCTTCAGAAAGGTAGGAAAAAGATTTAAGGGGATTTAAGCAGCCTGGGGAACATACAGTGGATGCTGAGGATCAGGCAAATTGAGAGAAAAAAGATCATTGCTGTGCTTATTTCCAGAAGATGAAAACAAAATTGCAGCTGTTCTATCTGCTTTGTCATCGCTGGATTTTGCCCCAAAAACAAGGTCATGATTTCCAGGA